GCTGTTTCTTGTATTATATATGATAAAATTTGAACCTTACTGGTCTAGTAAGAGAAAAATTGTGTCTCCTTTTGTTTAAATATGCTTATTTAGTTATAAATATGGTTGTATATTTGTTTTTTGTTTGTGTGGAGTACCTTTCTAAGCCCTTTGTCCAGTTTTTCTATTTGCAAGTAACTCAATACTTAACATAGATTGATTTAGATTTTCTTTTCTTTTCTTTTTTTTTTTTAAGAGGGAGTCTTGCTGTGTTGCCCAGGCTGGAGTGCAGTGGCACGATCTTGGCTCACTGCAACCTCCGCCATCTGGGTTTAAGAAATTCTCCTGCCTCAGCCTCTCGAATAGCTGGGACTACAGGCGCATGCCACCACGCCCGGCTAATTTTTGTATTTTTAGTAGAGATGGGGTTTTACCATGTTGGCCAGGTTGGTCTCAAACTCCTGACCTCAGGTGGTCCACCTGCCTCAGCCTCCCAAAGTGCTGGGATTACAGGCGTTAGCTACCGCGCCCAGCCTGATGATTTAGATTTTCTATTCTTGGGATGGCCAACCAAATGTTACATTCAGTAAGACAAGCATTTACCGAATGCCTAATTGGTGCCAGAAACTGTACTGTAGTGATGAACATAAGGTAGTGTCCCTGGCTTCCTGAGCATCCTGATACGTTGATATGAATTGCGGCAACTCCTTAGCAGGCCAATTTGGAAGCCTTCCATTTGCCTGTTTTTAATAGGGTGCCATTGAAAAAGTGTTGACAGAGATATTGACAATGTTGTCTGGTTTTGAAGGCCAATTCTGCTGGGTTGAGAAAGACAGTGGTTGGTTCAGGTCAATGAGAAAGCAGGAGCAAAGGCCAGAAGGTGAAAGAAGTTGACAAGTTTTTGGAATGCTGAGGGCTTGGTAAGTGTAGAGTTTACTTCTACATGGCAGACCAGTCACGAGGTGGGGCTAGCAAAGTATTAATTCATTGGCACCATATTGTCCAGTGGCTTGAATGCCATGCTCAAGAGTTTGATTTTTGTCTTTTTGACTTTGAAAGGCATCCATGTTTTTGAGGAATGGAATTTTAATGTGGAGGACCCATCCATAATGATGATGACGATGATGATGGTGATGATAAATAGCTAAACTAAGTGCTCAAAAGATAATTCATTTAGCCTCACAACTCCCATATGAGAGTCTGTTATTTTATGAATTTTATATATTTGAAACTGGATCTTCTTAATAATGTACCTAGCACATTAAACAATTATTTTTGTAGAAATTTCTTTTACATGAAATTTAGTTATGGTGAGAAAAAAAAAAAAAAAGCCTTACCTCTTCTTTCGTTTTTTTTTTTTTTGTTTTAGTTTCTTGTGTGTTACTTAGACTAGGCATCTAGGAGTCACATACTCAGATGCCTGAAGTCCTTGAAGGCCCTGTTTATGAAAGGCCACCCAGTGAAAAGGGCTCACTTTTCCTGTGTGAGTCAGGGCTGGGCAGAGCTCAGGCCTTGTCTCAGCGGGGCTGTCATACTCGTACTTGATCATGTGGGAAGGTGTGCCCAAGTGTTGGTAGAGCTTCTGACTTTTATGTGAATTCTTCCATTATCTAAATGTTGGCTCAAGTTTTAAAAAATTTGGGCAGGATAACAAAACATATTTGGCCTAGAATCACTAATCTACTTCTGTTTGTGATACCCTAGACATTTTAGATTAGCCAAATTATACCTAAGTAATTTATGTATATATCTCATGGATATACAGTCCTTATCCTTGAGGGGAAGGTGCAGTGTCAAGACTCTCGGAATTGCCATTTTGAAGATTAAAAGTGTGATCATGTCTTATTAGTTTAGATGCTGTAATTTTGGAATACATGAAGGAGGAAGCTATTGTTTATATGATGTGGGAGAGGGATGAGTATGGTGAGGAAGGTGGGTGATAGCTAATTTTTTGTGGGAGAGATTTAGAGCTTGTAACTAAAAAATAATTCTGTATTGCCAAAGTTGGAAGACTCTAGAAAGTTTTAAGAATTTTAGATCACTAAAGATCTCCAGAGAAATCAATCTTGATATGAAAGGTGTTATTTGCATTTTTGAAAAAATTTATTTCTCTAAAAACCACAAAGCAGGACTTGAAAATCTTTAAAAGCCTGTTTGGTATCCACTTTTTATAATTCAAAAAAGCCCAACCAAAATACTGTTTCAGGTTATTAAGGATGCTTCTTTGTAGAAACAGGGGATTGAGTATGATGTGACCCTGTGACATCTGATCATCTCAGTGGGTCTTAATGTTGAAATGAACATCTTCCTTTTAGGCAGAGAAGATGGCTTGAATTTATATTAACACATATGCTGTGTATTGTTGGGGGTAATGAGAATTAAAATAGCTTATCAATTTCTTCATTTTGGTGGGGAAGTGGAATCATAAGGTTAGTATTGATCAGATCATATAAGATAAAAAAAGTGCTACGTAATAACCTGTTACATTGTAGACACTAGGAATTATTTTTATCACATGTGACATTTTTACCTTTATATCCTTTTCTCTACCGGTGAGGAGGTTGAGGAAATGTTTTAAAATAAATTTAAAAATAAAGTTTGTATGCAAATATCTTGTTTAATTATTTTCATGAAGTCCCACATCAAATCCCCTATACACATTAACATTAAAAAGTTAAAAATTATGGTAAAGCCTTCAGAAAATTAGAATACTTTTTTCATTATTATTAACGACAAATTTACCATTCTATTTGAGTAAACTTGTTGATTCATCATCTTAATGTAATAGTTCTGAAGGCAGGTGGCAGCCTTAAGGAAAACTGCCACTTATGTAGAAAAAGATGATTGTGGAGTTGCTTGGATTACTGTGCTTTGGCAAAAGGATATGAAAAGAAAATGCTTTGTCAATATGAAGCTAAAATAAATATGATGACTATGGAGCATAACAAGATTTACAAATGTATCTTCAATTATTTTATTCATGATCTCAAATTTTGTCTTTCAGTAACTTTTTTTCTGCTTATAAAGATCTAATCATACTTACTGGATAGATTTGGAAAGTACTAAAAGCCAATCAAACAAACAAACAAAAAAAGCAAATAATTATCTATAATCTCATCACTTAGCCATAACTGTAAACTAATGGGTGGACTGTGAAGTCAGATACTGGATTTAAGTCTTTATTCCCTATTATTATTTATTTTTAAAAGTTAGCTACTTGACCTTTCTGTACTTCAATTTTTTTCATCTATAAAATAGGAGTAACAATAGAATTTACCTTATAGAGCTGTTTTAAGGACTGTATGGTAAATATTGAATCTACTACTTACTGTTGTTATTTCCTTCTGGTCTTTTTTTCTAAGCATATATTTTTATTTGTAGTTAAAAAATACTGTATATTTGTTTCTTTTTTTTTTTCATTTAACATCACATTATAAACATTTTCTTGTGCAGTTTCCAGTTGATGAACAGCCTCGTTCTAAATCATTGACCACATTTTCTTATTCTTTCCTTAGGATAAATTTCAAGATATCCTGAATCAACTGATGACAGTCTATTTAGCTTACAGGAATACTCTGGAAGGAAATGGCAGCTTCTGGAGTTTTAACTGGAGTTTTAATCTTGCCACTGTAACCTAATGGAATATCACATAACCTCCCTGGTGTGATCATTAAGCTTAGCAGGATCTCAGAGAATAGACAGAGGAATATGTAAGCTGGTTATCAGAGAAGGCTCTGGAGCCTGTCAGTCTGTGTTTGAACCGTGGTTCTGCAACTTTGGCAATATATATATTTTTTATCACTCTGAGCCCTTTCTGTACAACAGGATAAAACTAATACCTATTTCCTGTGGTTGTTGGGAAGATTAAATAGTTTGATATGTAATCCTGGCAGGTGGTAACCACTTAATGAATGTTAGCTCCTATTGTTCATTATATTAAATACCTAAAGTTTGTTTTATGATTAAATGTGAGAGAATGGCAGTGATGTTTGCATGTAATGTAAGTACCAGCTGTTACATATAAAATAGGGCAATACAAATATTTTTGACTCTGAAATGTATTGATTTTTCCCTCCGTTTAAAATAAATAACAGAAATATTCTGTTTCATGTTTTGTGGCCAGAAGCTAGCATGCGAAGAGGCATTTGATTTAATAAACCTTATAGAGAATTTTTAACAATTTTCTTCAGTGATTCACAGGTGGAAAGTGATTTTTATCCAGATTATTTTCGTTGAAAGACAAAAATGCTTTATGTTAGTTTTTAAAAAATTAAATTTGGTCGGGTGCAGTGGCTCATGCCTGTAATCCCAGCACTTTGGGAGGCGGAGGCGGGCGGATCATGAGGTCAGGAGACCGAGACCATACTGGCCAACATGGTGAAACCCCGTCTCTACTAAAAATACAAAAATTTAACTGGGCATGGTGGCGCGTGCCTGTAATCCCAGCTACCCTGAGGCAGGAGAATCGCTTGAACCCGGGAGGCGGAGGTTGCAGTGAGCCAAGATCATGCCACTGCACTCCAGCCTGGTGACAGAGTGAGACTCTGTCTCAAAAAAAACAAAAAACCAAAAACCAAACCAAAACACAACAAAATTAAATTTAAGTAAAACACCTGCAGATAATAATGTAAGCATTTGTAGTGTTTACTATATGCTGCACACTGCTGTAGGTGCTTTACCTATAATAACTTATGTAATCCTCACAATGCCATATGAAGAAATTTATTTTATTGTCCTCATTTTGTAGATGAAGGAACTGAGGCACAGAGAGGTCAAATAACCTGCTGAAGGTTATACAACTTGGGAGAAATTTCTGTGCTATGTAATCCAGCTCCAGAGCCTGTTCTTTTTAAATCAGAAAGCAAAGAATAATAATTAAGTACAATACCAATATGTTTGCAAAGAGTTTGTGTTAATACAAGAATTTGATTACTATGAAATTCAAGAGCATGTTTTAAAAAATTCATCTGTTTTTTGGAAATATGTGTATGCAAATTTCAATTCATTTTTTCCCCTTTTAGTTTTTCAGTTATGGGACAAAAATATTATATCAAAACACTGAAGCTTTGCAGTCTAAATTCTTTCCACCCCTTCAAAAAGCGATGCTACCACCTAATAGTTTTCAAGGAAAAGTGGCATTCATTACTGGGGGAGGTACTGGCCTTGGTAAAGGAATGACGGCTCTTCTGTCCAGCCTAGGTGCTCAGTGCGTGATAGCCAGCCGGTAAGTCCCTTACCTCAAGCCTATTGGTGATGCTTTTGAAGAAACTATTCTGTGCCATAGTATTGAAAACACTGTTCGCCCAAGTTGTTTGATTAGCATCTTAATCTTATATGAAATGCTAGAAATATTCTTTAGATTATTTAAATAAATCGTTTTGAAAAAGTCAGGTACTATTTGAGATGAAACAATGAAAACTGTGGAACTGATGTTTGGGTAAACATCCACAATTTTCATTATTTTAATTTCCCCAATTCGGTGGTAGAATATTTCTTTTTCTGTACACGAAGATGTAGTTAAAAAGCTTGACATGCAGCCAGGTGGGGTGGTGTGTGCCTGTAATCCCAGCTACTGGGAAGCTGAGGCAGGAAGATGGCTTGAGGCCCAGAATTTGAGACCAGCTGGGCAACATAGTGAGACCTTGTCTCAAAAGAAACTTTTTTTTTTTTTTTTTTTTTTGAAACGGAGTCTCGCTCTGTCGCCCAGGCTGGAGTGCAGTGGCCGGATCTCTTTTTTTTTTTTTTAAGCACTACATGGAGGTTGCTTTGTCTTCAGTGGGAATGATTATGGTTACTGCTTTCATTAAACATTAAACCATGAATATATTTTCTTTGTAAAGCTGGCTTATTAAGGAATAATTTAAATCTGTGAGTAGATAATGTTAAAGTAACTGGTTTAAAAGTGACTAATTCAATAAATTAGTATCAAATATATAAAAATGATCTAAATTTGACTTTTAGAAAAAAATTCACGTTGATTTTTGTATATAAATAACATCTATACTTTCTCAGAAATGCTTTTCTTTAAGCTATGGATTCTCTGTATTCTTCAATTTATGAAATTGAAAAATATAATATGAAGTCATACAAGGTGTTTATTTCTAGGAAGATGGATGTTTTGAAAGCTACCGCAGAACAAATTTCTTCTCAAACTGGAAATAAGGTACATTAAAAATCAGTTATTTAAATTTAGATTTAGGAATTATAACATGTTCAAATAATTTGTTCATGTGTTTGGTTTAAGAAACCTGGAAAATGTCATTTTCTTTTTGTTATTTTGCAGGTTCATGCAATTCAGTGTGATGTGAGGGATCCTGATATGGTTCAAAACACTGTGTCAGAACTGATCAAAGTTGCAGGACATCCTAATGTAAGTGTAGTGATGACGAAGCCGAACTGCCAGACACTTGATGTTGATAACACCCAACAACTTGTACAAAGGAAATAAAATGTTGATATTGATGTAGGACAGGCAAGTCCCAGTCTGGGGCTTAGCCTGGGAAGATTCTTGGCTTTACCCAGGAAAGAATTCAAGGATGAGCTGGTGGTAGAAGAGAACAGCTTTTCTGAAGCAGCAGCAGCAGTGGAATGGATTTGTGACTGTTCTTCAGAGCAGGGCAACCCCATAGTCAATGTGCTGGCCATAGCAGTTGAGAGGCAGTTTTTAGTCATATTTGTACCCACTTTTAATTACATGCAAATTAACTAGGTTTATGCAGAAATTTCTAGAAAAGGGTTGGTAACTTCTGAGTCATCAGTTCGTTGCCATGGAAAGGGCAGTAACTTGCTGGCATTGCCATGGCAATGGTAAACAAACATAGTGCATTGGTGGATATGTCTAAACAGGGGGTGCTTTCATCTAGGACTTGGTTTAACTAGTCCTCAATCTGGTCCTGTGTTGGAGCTCTGCCTCCAGAATTAGGCCCGCCTCCTACCTCAATATGAGCAAGTGCTGTGTTGAGAAGCACCTATTTTCTGTTCCTCGGAAAATGCCAGTTCTGCTAAAGCAAAGAACGGAGTAGAAAGACCGCTACACGACTTCCTTTCAGGAATACTTAAAGAATCCATTTATGATTGATCGGAAAACAAACTTGATTTCACTTTATTTAATAAGATTATGAAATAACAAGAGCAGTTATCCAAGAGCAAAGCACTGAGTTTAAATGATTGATGCTTTTTGCTTCTGCTAATAACTTTTGATTGTCTTCCTCAGTGGAGAACAATACAAACGTGAAAAACTGTAAGAAATTCAAAATTTCTCCTTTTAATACCTGAAATATGCATGAATATTTTGCTGTTGCTTGGTATATTTACTGGAGAGAAGCCATTTCTTCCAGTAGTCTCAAAGGTAGCACTTTCCATGATAAAGATATTTTCAGAACCAATAACATTGAATCTCCTGTAGAACTAGCCAGAATCTTTATTGGTGGTAAATAGATCCTCAACCACAAGCTGCTTTGGTTAAGTTAAACTAAAATAACACCAGAAACAAAAAGGCATTTCTTGAGATCTTTGAAATAAAATAGAGTTACATGGTAAATATGTTTATCTGTATTAATTTTCTTTTTCTTTTTACCTTTTAAAATTTTATTCATTTATTTTGAGACAGGGTCTTGCTCTGTCACTCAGGTTGGTATGCAAGTGGCACAGTCATGGCTCAGCAGAGCCTTGACCTCCTGTGCTCAGGCAGTACTCCCACCTCAGCCTCCCAAGTAGCTGGGAATACAGGCACATGCCTCCACACTCAGCTAATTTTTAAAAGAAAATTTTTGTAGAAATGAGGTCTTGCTTTGTTGCCCAGGCTGGTCTTGAACTCATCCCAAAGTGCTGGGATTACGGGCATGAGCCTTTGCACCCTTTTAGTTTTCTTAATAACAGAATCTACCCTAATTTAAAGATGGCTTAGGATTCTGAAATTTGGTAACTAACATAGGAGGTTTTCACAGACTCAGACTACCAAATCTCATGGTATTGTTTCGTAGGGAACTGTGAACTTCAACTTTATTGTATTATTTCTATTAATATATTTCAGAAACAAAAACCCTGCAGAGAAAATGTTTTTCCTCATCTAAAGTTTCTGTAACTTGCCTTGTCCATTTATTAGATTGTGATAAACAATGCAGCAGGGAATTTTATTTCTCCTACTGAAAGACTTTCTCCTAATGCTTGGAAAACCATAACTGACATAGTTCTAAATGGCACAGCCTTTGTGACACTAGAAATTGGAAAACAACTAATTAAAGCACAGAAAGGTATGTTTATTTGCTTTTCTCATATTTATTTGACTCTTATGTGTGCAAGGTTCTGTGCTAAGCTCTGTGATACTTTACAAGTCAATGAGACAGTCTACACTTGTACAACTCACAATGTAATGGAGAAAAATGATATTTAAATAATAATTATGTATTACAATTTGAGCAGTAATAAATGTATGTTTCAAGTGCATTGGCAATCCAGGGACAGGAATGACTAACTCTCTTTAGGGTCAGTGATCAGGTTGAGGAACAAGATGCAACTTAAGCTGAAAGTTCAAAGATCTAGATGTAGAGAAAGAGGAGGGAAAGGACATGTAAATGTCCATGGATAGAGGCCTGGTGGAGAGGAGGAGCATAAGTACATAGGGAATGATGAAAAACTTGATGTTATTAGAGATGGGGAGAGGAGTAGGAAATGACTTTGGGAAGGTGAGTTGGAGTGTAATTGGGAAAGTTCTCAATACCAAAATAAGGAGTTTAATGTTAATTCTGAAAGAAATAGTAAGTATTTTTGTGTGGATTTCCATTGAAGGTGGAGCAAAGAATGTGACTTGATTGGAAAGGTTAGTGACAACAAGATGGATGATGGAAGGAGTGCTATTCAGGAGGATTTGATTTTTCTTTTAGCATGTGGCTAGATTGCATGGGAGATAAAGTAGAAGATATTTAGAAGATGAGATCAACAGGCCTTATTGATTTGATGAGAGTGTTTTCAGATGGGATGAAGAGTCTGAATGACGTTAATACCACTGAGATTAAGAACACTGGAGGGAAGATAGATTTAGAAGTAACTTACTAGGAGAACATTTTTGTTAGTATTACGAATGAATTACTTTACAAAAGTTCATAGGTACATGAATAGCAAACATGTCTAATGTATATATGTGTGTATATTCACATATATCTAGAACCAGCGTACATTTATTCACCTGACAGACACTTACTAATGACTTTTGGGTAGCAGGCCGTATACTCATGCTCAAAGCAGAGGTGGACAAGACTCTGTTCCTGAATAATTCGGGGAACTTGAAGGATGGGGGTATTTTCTGAGAGAAGGTGGAGAGTATTCTAAACAAGGAAAATAAGGAAGAGTTCTCATGCTCCTCAGAGGGTGTCCTTTGAGGGCTGAGGGGAGGAAAGAGGGTATGGAGCTGGCCAGGTTCCTCCCTCTGGTTCAGAAACCTTTGCCTTACAAGGTTCAATTTCTTCTTTTGTGCAGCGCAGGTGATCCTAGCACCAGCTTGAGATAGGGTATAGGAGCAGAGAAATGCTACAGAGGCACTAGCTCTGTGTGTGTGTGTGTGTGTGTGTGTGTGTGTGTGTCTGCTCACACACATACACTAATAGCTTCCATCCTTGTGTGTGTGTGTGTGTGTGTGTGTGTCTGCTCACACACATACACTAATAGCTTCCATCCTTTCTATGCACTCATTGAAATTGAAATTCCTGGTTACTCATTTCCATTATGGCAGAATGGATGTGATTTGTAATTGGAGTTTGGATGATAAATGTTTGATTTGATTTTTTTTTTATTCCGTGGGGGGTGGGAAGATGGATAGGACTGGGAAGGGGGACAGGGAAGAGTGTGACTCCTCTCTCTTCCCTTCTCTATCTGAGGAACCTTGATCTCTGTATCTCTCCTGTGTCTCTGCCTCTGATTCTCTCCCTACCCCTTGCTCATGTCTCAATCTCATTTCTACTGCTCTGCCTCTGTCAGCTCCTCATTTTTAGTTCTCTGTTTCTCTCTTCATCTGTCTCTTTTGTTTCTTTGTCTTTCTTTGCCTCATTGTCCCTTATTTCTTCCCTTGCTCATCTCTGTGACACTCGATTTCTGTCTGACTCTCCCTTCTTTCCTCATTATTGTCTTTCATTTTAACATAGACTGATCTATTCTTGTTCATCACATTGGATTAAAATTCTATGGGCTTCATTAAAAATATATTAGATAAGATACCTTTTTAAAAGATGGAAGCCAGTTTTTATTCTTCCAAGATTCCTGTCAGTTATTGATGCTGTAAGCTGACAGAGCTTAGAGAACTTGGACCACTGGACTGAGGGGAGTAAATGATAAAAGATTTATCCTGGTACTGGATGGACAGTCAAGGAACTGAAGCGTGACATTTTTAACAATATCATGTCTTCCAATCTTGCACCATTTATTTAGGTCTTTAATTTCTATCAGCAGTGTTTTGCACAGGCATTGTACAAGTTTTTTTAACTTTCTCCCAAAGTATTTAAATTTTTGGTGCTATTGCAAATGGCACTGTTTTCTAAATGGTATTTTCTGGTTCTTTTCTTGTAGTATTTAGAAATACAATGGATTAGTTTTGTGTATTGATGTTTTCCCTAGGAGCTTGCTAAACTCAATGGTTTTTACAGTTGTTTGTTTGTTTGTTTGTTTAGATTCCTTTGGATTTTCTACATTGGTAATACTGATAATGAAAAAAAGACATTTTTTATATTTTCCTTCCCAATTGATAAGCCTTTTATTTTCTTTCTTGCCTTATTTTACTGGATGGGACTTTCACTAAAATATTGAATAGTAGTGGTAAAAACTTAGATTCTGCTTGTTCCTAGTATTAAGAACAAATCAAATACATGGAGGAAAGCAATTAGTTTTTCACTATTATGATTTACCTGTAAGTTTTCATAAATATCCTTTATCAGCTTTAGGAAGTTCTCTTCTATATCTAGTTTGCTGATAGCTTTTTTAGAAAGTTATTATTATTATTATAGTTTAAGTTCTAGGGTATATGTGCACAACGTGCAGGTTTGTTACATATGTATACATGTGCCATGTTGGTGTGCTGTACCTATTAACCCATCATTTACGTTAGGTATATCTCCTAATGCTATCCCTCCCCCCTCCCCCTACCCCATTACAGGCCCCGGTGTGGGATGTTCCCTGCCCTGTGTCCAGGTGTTCTCACTGTTCAGTTCCCACCTGTGAGTGAGAGCATGCGGTGTTTGGTTTTCTGTCCTTGTGATAGTTTGCTGAGAATGATGGTTTCCAGCTTCATCCATGTCCCTAAAAAGGACATGAACTCATCCGTTGTTATGGCTTCATAGTATTCCATGGTGTATATGTGCGACATTTTCTTAATCCAGTCTATCATTGATGGACATTTGGGTTGGTTCCAAGTCTTTGCTATTGTTAATAATGCCACAGTAAACATACATGTGCATGTGTCTTTATAGCAGCATGATTTATAATTCTTAGGGTATATCCTCAGTAATGGGATGGCTGGGTCAAATGGTATTTCTGGTTCTAGACCCTAGAGGAATTGCCACACTGTCTTCCACAATGGTTGAACTAGTTTACAGTCCCACCAACAGTGTAAAAGTGTTCCTATTTCTCCACATCCTCTCCAGCATCTTGTTTCCTGACTTTTTAATGATCACCCTTCTAACTGATGTGAGATGGTATCTCATTGTGGTTTTGATTTGCATTTCTGTGATGGCCAGTGATGGTGAGCATTTTTTCATGTGTCTGTTGGCTGCATAAATGTCTTCTTTTGTGAAGTGTCTGTTGATATCCTTCGCCCACTTTTTGATGGGGTTGTTTGATTTTTCTCTTGTAAATTTCTTTAAGTTCTTTGTAGATTCTGGGTATTAACCCTTTGTCAGATGGGTAGATTGTAAAAATATTCTTGTAAAACTATTCTCACTCTGATGGTAGTTTCTTTTCCTGTGCGGAAACTCTTCAGTTTAATTAGATCCCATTTCTCAATTTTGGCTTTTGTTGCCGTTGCTTTTGGTGTTTTAGACATGAAGTCCTTGCCCATGCCTATGTCCTGAATGGTATTGCCTAAGTTTTCTTC